ATGTGTTTTTTTTTTTTACTTCATCAAACAAATTACAGTCACGGAACCTATAGCCCCATCACAACATGTACTAACCACAAAACAATGCCCATCCAAACAAAGGGCAGATCAGCATGCTGTGCTACTGGTGCATCCGTGTGCGTGTGTGTGTGTGTGTGTTAAAGGTTGATGTGAAGCCGATGGGAGTAGTAAACAACCTCTAAAGCAATTCTCTGTATCATGATTGAGATATAAAAAGCTGAGTACCCATAAACGTAATAAATAGGAAGTCGTTTTTAGCACTGTGAGCCACCACTCAATGTACTGCCAGGTACACAAAGAACAAGGGATTCAGCACAAGTGAGTCACTGAGTCCAATTTTATTTCATTATATTGTTATTTTTATTCTTTTTATGGAAACAATTGAAAAATATAAAAATACAATGTGTAGTATAAATATCCTGTAGCTGCCTGAAAGTCAAGCATACAGGATACACTGTAATAAACACTGTGTTCTTGCAACATGAACAGAAATACTTTGATAAATGAAGATATGAAATCTGGATCAAAATGAGTTCTAATCGATCTGCTATTGCAGAAATTGTAGAAATGTATGATGCTTAAAAAGTTCTCACAAGTTAAGCGCATGGTAAGAATGCATACCTTGAACTTTTTGAACTAGAGGCGGTAACATTTCTCATGGCATAGATGAGGCTGGGAGTGGAATGCTTCCTTGTCTTAGAGTGCTCATGTCAGCTCAGCCTGTTGGTCCAAATATTCATTATGTTTATTAAATACAAAAAAAAAATCTTCTGAAGTTGTTAGGCAGTTAAACACAGTAAATGTTCGGTCACACAGCAGTGGCTCTCTGTCAGCAGCCTCTTGCTGTGGCTGGTTGCCGTGTCTGTGGGATTAAGCATGGAGCCAGGGGAAGCCACAGTTTGAGCTTTGCTCAATACAGCAGCCATCATGGGGAATGTGAAGGGTGTTATTTTCTGAGGAGCGACTGTCGGTGTCCCATGGGTGGCTCAGCTTGCTGATTTTTGTGGGATTAGCCAGCTATGGATTCTGCAAGGCAGTCCCTGCTCTGTCCAGCCTGCACCTTTCTGTCTCACTATCTCTTTTTCTTTCTCTCTCTTCTCCCCTCTCTTTCTCTGTTTCCCAGTTTCACACTTAGCTCCCTCTGTCTCACTTCTCATGTAGATCAACAAACTGCTCTCTCTAGATCTCTAAAGTAGGCTAAATAGGGAGGATTAAATCAACAATTTCCTGGCAAAAAACAGCCAGGCACAAAGCTGTGCACAGCATCCCAAAGACCATGTTGTAACCGTGAGATCTGCCAGATTACACAAATTGGTGCCTGTGCAAAGACAGAGACCTGTGCTCTCTAACAGTATCTGGCAAACTGCAACAGAGTCAGTGACGCTGCATTGAAGTATTGGGCAAACTATTGATTTGAGATGGTGAAAATGGTAACAGGGTAAACCTTATTCCTGCTTGACCTTGTTGTGTTGTCATCGTGAGCAGGTTAGCATCCTGACATTAGCATTCAGTTCATAACACCGCTATGCCTAAATATAGCCTCACAGAGGAGTTAGCATGGCTGTAGAGTCTTTAGTCTTTTTTCACTTTCTGAAGAGCCAAGCTTGCAGTTTCACTCTGCTCCCACTTTTAAAGCTAAGCTAGGTTAATTAACACATGCCATGAGATTGATATTAATCTCTTTATCTCGCTCTCAGAAAGATTGTGTGTTTTTGTGCATGTTGCCTTGAGTTGAGACGTGGACTCTGATTTTTGTTTTGATTTTTTAATTGCGGCAATCTTTCTTGATTTTCCATCTCCTGTTTTTGGTCAGTATGCCTCTCCACTACTGTCCTCCCATGACTGCACCTCCCTCCATCTCTCCCCTCAATGAGGCCCTCAGAGGGTCCATTGTCCTCTCTGATGTCCAGCCCTCCCTTTTCTCTCTAATCAAATAGCCTCCATGAGGAAATACCAGCAAATTATAGCCTCTATTCATATCTGATGGCCTATGAACTCTGTGTACAGTGTATGGGGAAGCGGGTTGGGTTGTGACTTGTACAGTATAGAGTTAAACGGACACGGACAGAGGAAGAGAGAGTCACAGGATTAAGATAGAAGTTCCTCGGATGTGACCACAGCAATAACATATTTCCTATTTGTGTTATCAGCTTTGCACACACACACACACACACACACACACACACACACACATGCACATGCACACGCACACGCACACACACACACACAGAGTACTGTATATAACTCTAGCAGATTCAGTTATGTGCACATATTGAGCTCTTACACAGACAAGGAAGCAAGCACATTAGCTCTCACATGAGCCCACATGTTAACTGTATCAGACAGACACATTCAAACACTACACTGCATTATTCCACAGATAAAATCACACACCGTTACATACAATCCTTCTGTCACGTTTGCAGGCACCGTCGCATGCTCACATACACACTAAAACTTTTAATCTGGCCTCTGCAGTTGGACGGGCGCTGCATAGGACCTGCTAATTAGTGGCCAGAGGAGGCCTCTGTTTGTCTGCTCTCTTCCTGTTCAGCTCAGACACAAGTTTCTCTGTGTCCTATCTCTGCCCCAAAAGATAGAGAGGGAAGGAGGGTGAAGGGTAGAGGGAGGGAAATGAATGAAGACTGAGTGTGTTTGTTTGTTGGACGGACTGCACATATCGCACTGTATGAAGCCTTTTCTGCCGCTTTTTAAAGCCTCTTCCAGGGCTGAGGACGAGGAGCGAGGATACCATCAACAGATCAGGTAGTTAAACCTGTTGTCACATTGCTGGATTAGTTTCATTTCCACATTTGGGCTCCTCCCAGGCTTCACTATGGACTTGAGTGTAAGGGATTTTCTTGCAGTGCCTGTCCTGTTGAGATTGAGGGCAAAGAGAGAAATGGGATTGCTCAAATTTTCAGCTTGTTGCTCTATTCGAACACGGCTGAATTGGCTATTTTCTTGTCTCTTTCTTGCTATCTTCTCTGTGAAAAATCAAGCATGTTGCCTGTACTTGAGTCCTGTTTCTGTTTGTCTTTCCTATTTTGTGTGTGTGAGGATATCTCTGCTCTAAACTGCCCTGCACTCCCACTTCCTCTACTTCCCTTCCTCAGCGCGAACTCATTTTCCTCTTCCCGCTCTGTCTGTCTGTCTCGTGCTCGTCTCCTTGGGATTCGCTGACACAAACTACAAAGTAAGTGTTGAGTTGGATCCTGGCATCCTTTAGTCTACCTGTGTTTTCTTCTCCCTTCCTTTTTCTCTCTCTGCCTCTGTCTTTATGCCAGGCAATGGTTTTTGTTACGCCTGTCAGATTTGGCCTCACTCTTTCACTCTTTCTGTTTCTTCCTAAGCTGTTTGGGTGGAAGCTACAGATTTAGAGTAACAGAAATAATGCAAGATGATGTAGAGGTGAAGGAGAGAGATAAGAGGTAGTAGTAGTGATAAAGGGAAGGGAAAAATGGCAAGAGCACAAGGAACTAGAGTGAGAAATTAATTTACAGTACACGCTACGAGTGATTCCTCATCTCTTGGTTCTTTTAAAGATAATTTCAGACACATTTCTGAATCGTTTCCTGCTTTTTATCTCTTTTCCCCTCACTCTTTTTAACCATAATTTTTTTTTCTCCCTGTAGACATTGCAGAGGAATCTCTTTCCTGACTGCATTTTGTCTCTGAGCTTTCCTCATATGTTTTCCTCAGTGCATCTATTAATGAGGCTACTCTACCTGTGGCACTTCAAAACTTCGGAAATTCATTGTTAATTCATGACATCTCTGTAATTACTGTAAACAAATGAGAGGGTGGTTGAAATGATTGGTAGCCTCAATCTCACATTTTTCTTTGATATGATATGATAGTGCTGACATTTTATTGCCAATCTGGGCTGCATTTCCCATTATCCTTGTCACTTCCTCTTGCAAAGACAATGGTTCCACTTGTCTGTGCTTCCATTTCAATATACTTTCACTTCCAGTAACTGCCTGAACCTGATTTTTTTCTAAAGAACTGCACCCTCTTCCAGCTTCGTGCCATGAAGCCATTTCCTGGTAACACACACTGTGAGTAAGCTCACACAAGAAACCAGGTCTCTCATGAGAAATCAGGTCCTGTAAAACCTTGTTGCTGGCAATCCAGTAGTTGAGATATATCAGTCTGGACCGACCAACCAACCAACCAACATTGCCAACCAATATTGATCTCATTTATCCACTATAATCCAGGTTTCTGGTTTACATCACATTTAAGAAATCATCTTCCTGCTGAAATCCGAGAAACCGTGTTATTTAAGTGCATGTAAACACAGTGTGAAATGCAGTGTAGTGACTTGTAGAGACTACCAGCTTTTCCTACGTCTTGCTGTTTTATCACAATTATGCTAAAGTCTCAAAATTAATGTGAAGATGATTCATTGCACATTTAATCTGAGCTGTCAGATGAGTTAATAATTTGCAGCAGAGTTTTTATGACCCTGAAAGCAGCAGTGAACAGCATCTCTTTATGCCTCTATCAGAGAGCTCTCAGCCTTTCCTTCAGGTCTGTGAGTGAAATCTGCAGCTAACCAGGCTGTCACGTCAAATCAGTGTCAGTCGAGGCCAGGCCACCTGCAGAGTGAAGGCAGAAAAGACTGACTGGATCTCCATTAGCTTGTAATGGCAGTCTAATTGAGTGCTGATGGAGATAGAAAGGGTGGGGGTCGGGGTCGCGGGTGGGGGTGTTAGTTTGTAGGCCTTTAATAAAGTGTGGTGAAAGTGAGAGGAATCATCAAGAGACTGATTGCTCTATCAGCCAGAATGATTAATCTATTTTGAGTGTTCTCAGTGTGTGATTGATGGCCTGGTGCAGTCTGGGTAATGTAGTAGTGGATGATGACAGCAAGAGTAATGGCTATTGAATGAGTAAAGGGGATTGGGAGAGGGCGAAGGGGGGGAAAGATATAGTCAGAGGGTTGAGAAATATATTTGGAGTGGGGTTGAAAGCAGGCATATGTACACCCACAACTCATCGCCATGGTGACAGGTTTACCACTGATCCCATTAGGAAGGGTACAACCAGGGGCAGGTTGCCAAGTGACACTTCAGAAATGATGATAGAGTCTTGTGTTGTGGGAAAAAGGCAGACATCCAAAGGCTGTGTTGCTGGAAAGAAATATTTTGTCTCTTTGGCTGAAATGACACTCGCCCCTGTAACCTTTTCCCCTGCTTCACATCACTCACTCTTGTTTTTCATTCTTTCTGGGTACACATCTGCCTCGGAGATAAGGGACCTTTTGGTCCTCAGCTCTCTCTTTGAGCCCTTTGGGGCTCAACCTTTTCACCAGTGCTGCAACAAAGTGCAATCTGAAATCTCCTCAAATGCCCAGAGAGAAGTCTGTTATATAAAGGTTCCAAAGAAACATTTCATTACATGTTACTCTGAATTAATTGTCTTCAAATAGAGATGCTGCAAGTCCCTTTTGGTGAAAATCATTGACGCATTTCATTTAGTATGCAAATTACAATTTAGGCATTTGGCAGACTCTCTTTTCAGAGCGACTTACAATAAGCTACACAAACAAAAAGTGAAACAGCATTAATTAAGAAAAGTGAATGAAGAGCACCCTTCCCATTAACAGTCTAATAACATATTATCAAGAATAACAACAAGAGCTTTTTTTCCTTGTGTGTGTGTGTGTGTATTGGGATTTGTAACCTTTACTGTGGTAATAGCTGGAGCTTGATGGAGGAGTGGTGAGGCCCACCTGTATCATAAAGTGGATAGATGATTAAAGATGATTAATTATTTACTCTTCTAAAGATTATATATTTTCATTTCGCCATGACAAGACAGTTAAGAGCGACAGAAAGTCAGGAGAAAGAAGGAGATGGTAAGTGGATTGAGGATGCAGGATGGACAACAAAGATGGAGTTGCAGCAGTCAAGCCTGAGATGAGCTTCGACCTGCAACTGTTTAGACTTCCTAATGAGGCTGCTGTGTCTGATCCCTCAGAGTTTATTGGGAGCAAATCTGCAGTATCAAGTGTGACTCCTGTATGAACCGGAAAGGACAGTTGGTTGTTAAGGATCACGCTGAGGTTATTGGTGGATTGGGAGTCCGGAGAGATCCGTGCACCTGTTTCCTCTTCTGAGTCAATAACACATGTAGTCAGCAAAATAAGGCCTGTTGGAGATTAATATGAATGAGTAATGACATGTGCCACAACTTGGGCAATATCACTGTAACAGGTAAAGGACTTAGACATTAAACTATTTTAAGTAAACTCAAGCAGTTTTTGCTGTTTTTCTGAGAACCATATCTAAACTAGGAGACACTTGTGAATGAGATCAAAAGAACATTAAATGATAGATAATGAAATGTTTGGCCCATAAAAACTAACCCCTTTAAAGCCTATTCAAAGCTGATTCAGAGAGTCTCTGCTGCTGCTGGCCCCCTGGAGTTGGTCCACTTCTGGCTCTGCGATTGGTCGGGTGCTTGGACCTCAGTGTACCTGCTTGCAGATCTTTTCTTGAGGCAGTCCTCTAATGTTAAACAAAAAGTAGAACTATTTGTCTTAGTTTTGCATAACCTCAGTTGTGGATATGTTGGGAATAAAACTCTTTTGTTCCCTGTTTCTCAGCAGCTGTTTTGCTCTTTGGTCTAAAATTCATTCACATCATGTGATGAGACCCTGAAGCGATTGCACTGTCAAATGATAGATTTTTACAGCAGCCACCTCTTTCATCAGTTAGATTGTTAATGAAATTGAAATATAGCCTTTGTATCTCATATTTTTAATGATGTACAATATAGCGCATAACAGGACTTTACAGTGTAAATATTTTCCAGCACATTTTTCACATAAAACCTTTAAACCTGACTGACTTTCTTCTACAAATTGCAGCAATTTCACTACAATCTACTGTTCATTAAAGACACTTGACTAGCAAATCAACATAAGATTCACTGTGATTTATCCCTAATCCTTACTAGTCTCAACAATTTTAGAGCAGATGAATGTTGAGAACTGCCCTTTTTTTTTTCTTATAAGTAAAGCTCCAGCAAAACCCTGGTGATCACGGTGATCACAGAGAACAAAACCCAGAAGTCCTAAAGGGACCGTTAAGAGACTCTACAACAAATTCTCCAGGATTGAAAAGACGAAAGAAAAGTTCAAACTTTTTCCAACCCTTCATTTTCAGTGTTTTCTTTGAACATTGGCCTAAATCTTTCATGACAACTGAACTGTGTGAATGTGTTTGGACTTAAATGATACCCTTGAGCTGAACTGAGATATTACTGAGCTGATGTGCTTAGTTGTTTTCTTTTAGTTTCCTATCGTGCACCTCAGGCGAACAGGTGAACAAAAGATGGACACCATTGGCCCTGGATAGACACTGTTTGCTACACATTTGAAAGCCCACATCAAAAGCTTTTTTTCAGCTTTTTTTTTTTTTTTTGCTGAATTTTGTTCTGCTGTGCTTCTCTGTTGAAGCTCATGAAATCAAAATAACACTCTGGTATAATATTGTGCATCTGCACTCAGTGAGAGGCCTCTTCACTTTGCTTTCCAAACACTATTAATTATCATAATACATCATGTATGGGTCTTTTTGAAGGGATAATTTGCCAGTATAGCTGCAGTATATAATTAATAATATAGTTAGTGTTGTGTTTGTGTTTAGCTAAATGAAGAGTTCCTGCAGGGGTCTTTCAATTTAAATGTGCACATTTATGCTTGGGAAACTAAACTTTGGCCATGAAATCGTGCCCACTGTGTCACTGGATGATCTCCCTCACATTTCTCTTTGTTTGTTTTCCCTCTGTCTCTCTCCCAGGACTCAAAGCGTTCCGCAGAGATTGTCACATCACCATCTCTGGATGTTTTCCTTCCAGAGGACGAAGACAACCCGTATGAGTCTGTGACCACCGCCGTCACACGCAAACCCTGCTCACTCGATATCAACCTCCGGCTCAATGCCTGTCCCCGCAATGGTAAGGCAAAATATCAAACTCAGCTTTTAGTCAGTGTGTCACCTGTAGTTTCACCTTCTAAAACACAGATGCCATCCTCATCCGTCCTTAAAGAGTAACTTAGCTGGGTGTGCTTCATTGCATCTGTAACCACACCCAACACTCACAGGGGTCCAAGAGTGCACCTTTACATCACTGCTGCATGTGAAGATGTAAAACCACTGGGTTTTGCTTTCATTCACCACCTCACACCTACAGTATTGATTTATTTTGTGTCTCAATCAGCTTTTCTGTCAGACAGATCTCAGTCAATTCAATAGTCTTTACCTGTTTAACAAAATGATTGCCTCATTTTGGAAAGACATTCTAGTACTTCATGATCTATAGCAAGTATGAACTCAAGTTTACTGCTGTACTCTTCCATGGCTTAGGAATGGATTTATGTTTGTTTTACAGAATTTAAAAGGGTGAAAATATTACCATCAATCTGAAATGATTAAAAACAGATACGTGTGGTACAGAAAATGTACATTTAGCCAGTTAGTTGACCATGCAAAACTGACCAAAACCAATCAACAAACTTGTGTTTTTTAGCTGTTGTAGTAAACATACTGTTAGATTGAACTAATGAGCGTTGCTGACAGCTCTTTCACTCTCAACTTTCTGGATTATTTTTTAAAGTATTTATTTCTTGTGGGTCTCTACACGCCTTTGGGCTTTTAGGCCTTTAAAATAATTTGACAGAGGAACATATGGTGACTTCCAGTGTGATCATGTTTACTGTGTTCACAAGCAAGAGCCTATATGAACATCCCATTGTTTGTGATGATCACGACTTCAGTGTAAGACTTGAACAACCTGGACACCAAGCCAAGTGTATTCTGTATTCAACATAAACACAAGTTCCATTGTACTAAATACGTGTGGAAAATGTGGGTGAGAGTGAGAGCAACATTATTTGAAATACATACATTGTTGAATTTATGTGTGTAGCATTATTTGGACTATTGATTTCTTTAAGGAAAGTAAGGGAAGGGTGATTTTAATTTTGCATATGTTGGGGCAACCGACAACCTAGTGGTTAAGGTGCATACCATATAACCTGTAGCTAGTTACTAATTAGTTTTGTACTGGACAGGTAGGGTGGGTTTATCAGAGCTTTTATTTGCTAACAACAGCTACCTGACGCCGAGAGCAGTGAGACTGAACCATAACAATAAAACCAAACAATGTGCTAAAAGACACTAAAACTCTCCATGCAGATGAGGGGAAACACGGTGTCGGGTAATCATCAGCTGTGAGTTCATCACTATGAGTGACACCTTTCACATACACGTTCTGTAATTTGACAATATGGTGTAATGTCATCCAGACAGATGACTGTCAAATATTTCAATTTCCACCTTCCTGATGTATAAACCCCTGTGTAAATAGGGATTCTTGACTAAAGTTACTATTCAGCACTTTATTCCTGATTCAGTTACTTTTTCACTGCCATCCACACTGTCTTCAAATCTGTTTTCAGTGTTGGATTCAGTGTGAGCTAATCCTCCAGCCTCAGACCTTTGAGTCGATTCTGTTTGCTCATCACTTGTTTGGTCTGCAGCGTTATACTTCGACTCCCACGACAACAAACACCCACAATGTGTTCTTCCCTTTCACTCAGCTCCCATAGCGATGCTACACACTGAAGGTTGTCACGGCAACTGCATCACCAGCTGGTGAGTCACCTGTATGTTGCCATGGGAACTGCCTTGCCAGTGGCACCCCCCCTCCTTCCCAATCAAACCCTCCCCCCCTAACAGGAGCGGTGTGAGGCTACTGTAGAGGCTTGTTTTGTGTGTGTTCAAGCGTGTCTCGTCCCACGTTTGGCTGTTACATCTCCTCTGTGATTGGCTGTAGGATAAAGGAGAGCTGAACTGTCAATATACAGTAGACTGTGTGTGTGTGTGAGAGAACTGGGAGGTTAGCTGCTCTATGTCAAAGTGTCTTTTGGTAGAAAATTGCTCCACTGATGTAAGTAAGCAATGTGGGTGTTGTGTTTGTTCTCAGATCTCTGAGCGCTGTTACCTGGCCAAATGACAGAGAGACGTAGAGAGAGAATGGAAATTAAAGTGAGTGAGACATAAACAGATAATGAGGGAGCAAAAGAGGCAAGAAAAAAAATGCCAAAGAGAGAAGTGAGGAGGAACTCCATAGATTTCCATGTGATAGGTAAAAATGACTAGAAATACATTATGCCTTACGGGCTCCGGATACTGTCATGTTGCAGAGAGACAGACATTAACGAAAGGTGAGAGAGAGTCTGATGGAGAGAGGATAGATTAAACATTCAGTCGATGAAGTTGGAGGGTTGTCTCAGGCTAAGCTATTTACACGAGTGTGAATCTCTGACGCAGAAGGAGGGAAAATCCTGGATTCCTGCTTAAAGTCCAGTCACATTTCAGGCTAATTGGACATGGGTGTGAGTCAGTCTCTCTTCATCTGGCTCTGAGAGGAAGGCAATGATGATGAAGAAACATGGAGAAAGAGGGGTTCAGATGAGAGAAAAGAGGAAAGGGAAGAGCAGAGAGAGACTTGGTGCATTACACTACAAAAAATAATCCTTCTCGATAAGTCATCTGGTCTGCTAATGATTCTAAAAATCCTTCTTGTGGTTAATGGTTATATTGTGTAAATAGAATAAGATAATTACATGTTTTTTCCAAATTAACTAGTTTTAATAGTATGTTTTAAACCTGGATCGGATGTTGCTAGGTTGAGTCGAAACTTAAATTAGTCTTGATGTTGCAACAACATTTTACAGTTCTGTAGTCAGAGGACATATTGGGAAAAATAAAAATATACCAAAAAAACAAAAAGTATATAATGGTACAAAACTGAGGTTAGTACACATCATACACTTTATAATCTTTCTGTGTCAAGAACATATCAAGTAGAAACAAAGGTTTAAAACGAATATCAATGACTCTGAGTTTATGCAAAGTAATAGTAAGTGAACAGGCTTCTCTCTATAGTTGCACCAGCAGGAGAGCTGCTACTGCTCTCAGGACTAGCTTCCCTGCCATCGGAAGCAGGGCTGCTAGCATCTTCACCACTGTGTTTGAAAAAAAACAAACAAATTTTGGCCTGACATTGAGACGTTCAAGGTCGACGTCTGTCAATCTTTGGTTTTAGAGGGATTTATAACACTTGCTGGAAAGCTTTCATTGCACTTAACATAACAAACTGTCAACCTCTCTCCTCTGCTCTGCTGTGTGTGGAGGGGCTATGACACACACAGTGAAACAGAAGAGGAGAGGAGAGAAACGTGACTGTAAGTGACAGCAAAATGCAGTAGAGACTCACACTGAGCTGAAATGAAACAAGTGAACACAAATTAGGTAAATAACACAAATTATTTATTTGGTTTTTTTTTTTAACTTTTTGTTTTTTGATAATAACACCATACAGCTGCCTTGTGTTAGGATTTAAGACAATGATTAAAGATAGCTATACTTGAGAAGATGTGTATGTATAGGGTTGTTTGGCCATGGTGGAGCTATGCACTCTGAGTCCAACGCTAGCTTTACTTTTATTCTTTTCCTTTTGCCTTCCCACAACTGTTGGTCTGAGATTTGCCGCAACTTGTTAGAGGCATCATCCCACTTTTGTTGCTGCTGTTTTCATGGAAGATCACATGGGAATGTTATGCACGCTATCCCATTGCACCACATGTCCTTGTGTGCAAAATCGTACGACTCAATGAGTCCGAAGGCATTTTTGTCATTTTGTACATTAGCTCAGGATTATCCTTGTTGTAGAAGATGGATTCCTTTCTGATGGAGTTTAATTTGTTTCAAATGAGGGAATCCATTTCTTCCAACACTTTGTTACAGATATATTTAGTGGTCATTTGTCATATTCAGTTTAAACTTAACCTTTTCTCTCCATTGCTCAGTATTTGATTGCTACTTTAACTGGGGGATATTTCAGATTTTTTTGCTATTAAAAGCAAAATCCTCAATAAATAACTCTGAGGTGTGTGCTGGAAAATAATCAGCTGTTGTAATCAGTTTTACCACAGTAGGTTAGAACCACAGGATTGTGGTGCTGACAGCCAGATTGCAGCAACAAAGAAACATTACAGGTGAGGTGTGATCCTGGAGATGGGGAGACAGGGAGCGAAGCCTCATAGCCTCCAGTCACGTATGGAGCAGACAGAGCGAAGACCATTGCCAAGCGGTTAGAGTTGAAGTGCTTCTTTTCTGCTATCAGACGGACTCCTCCCGAGATAAACACACACTTGTCTTCAGCTGGTAAACAAGCCACTGCTGACGTGTGCAACATGAAAGTGCACATCTGTGTGTCTCTGCGTGTGTGTTCGTGCATGTGTGTGTCCTCTATAACATTTCAGAAGTCCTTTATATTTTCCCTCAAGTATCAGTGACCTTTCTTTTTCAACGTTACTTACTGGACGTTGGTTTGTTTTCTTTTTTTCTTTTGACTGTAGGTTTGCAATGTATAGGAATTTGTAATTCTTGATACTGCATCATGACCACAATCCATCCTCAGGTCTCTCTAGTGGATAAAGTAGTGATGTTGCCATGTTTCGCCCCATTTATCCCACTTAGGTTGGTGCTGGAGGCTGAGAGTGGCTAATGGCAGCAAGTAGTAACTCTAGGGCTTTGCCATTAAAAGGGTCGAGGCCCACTGACTTGTTGTAAGAGAGGCAATGGAGTGTCTTCCTCTTTGACAGCCAGAGGAAATCAGTGTTGAACGGTTTGCACATGCTCACTCTCGCGCAAGTTTAGTTTGGTTTGTTAGCTTTCAAGATGCTTGTACACTTTTAGTTTGTTTCAGCTTTGTTTTATTTTCATTGTCTGTATTCTGGTGTTATTTTATATTTTTCTCTTTTATTAACAAAACCCATGAACAAAACAAAATCTCACCACTCTGCAGCCATCTTGGAAATGCCCCTGTGCAGTTATTTTGGGCTAACAAGACCTTATCTAAATGAATGGGGAAAGAATCATAACTGCGCTTTCAATCGTCACCGGGAAATAATTATTACATTTTGCAGATGCTTTTATCCAAAGCGACTTACAAGTGACGACACTTAAGCTATAGTGCAGTAGGAGACCTTGGTGTAAGTACGTAAGTGCTGCATGTGTGCATGGAGATCAGGTAACGAAGTGCACCGACAGTGCATAGTAAGTGCTAGTTAGGCATGTATACAATCACCATTCAAGTCTTGAAAACTTTCCCCCAAAATACAGTTACACCAAAATACAAAATACACCAAAGCAGACAATTGGTTTGTTGGGGGGGCGGGCATGTATAATACAACAGCTGTCTGTCTCTTATAATGTCCCTGCTCTGTCTCTGGCACTCAGCCGAAGCCCATTTGTTTCTGCTGATGATGTAAATCTGTAAAAAAAAACAAAAAAACAGGTAAACTCTACTTAGTACCAGAACAATTTTTTAAACTTTCAAAATCTGTTGGATTTTTTTTACATTTGCTCAGTATTTGATCAAATTTGAGAGATCCTGTCAAGAGCTCAGCTGTAATTTGCCTCTCTGACATAGAAGAGAACACGTGAGAGGAGCTACACACACATAAACACATAGATACAGTACACATATGAAATGCTACTTGTCAGTTTGGCACAGAGGCAGAACTGACAGACTGCAAAAACACGCCTGAAATCGACAGTTTTTGTATTGTTAGGCGGGTAGGAAGAGGACTGCTGATTTGAACACTTGCTCCCACCAAGCATTCACTTTAACTCACTCCTCCTGTACACACTGCTGCATACCTACAGTAACAAGCTGTGAAGCTGGCCTTGGATGTACACAGATAGGTTTGTGAGAACCCAGGCTCTGTCATGCTTTGCATCAACACACTCATACTGTACTATATATGATTGGAATGCGAAGACAATCTGAATCATTTGAAACCTGTTAAAGTATTTCACATTTTCCCAGAGGTTATTTATCACTGTCTCTCACACACATACATGAACCTGAGCACATGGACGTAAACAGGTTTAATACCCTGCAGCTATCACATTTATATGATCCTGCATGTGTTATGTATATGGACCTAAATATGTGCACTCAAGCACACACGCAAGCACATATTCCCTTTGGCAATGAGAACTGGTAGTGTTTCCCAGGAGTGAGCCGAAGGCAGATCTGAAGAGAGCACAGCCACAAGCACACACACATACACATACACACACACACACACACATCTCACATCCATCATCAAAGCCTCAGTGTTGACAGGCTTATTTACTCAATAGGACAAAACCTCAATCTCTATCTATATATATCCCTCTGTTGCATCCTTCCTTTCTTCTCTCTTTCTCTCAATTTTCCAGTTTTTATTTTATCTGTTTACACCCACATTTAATCATTGATTCAGCTCCAGGCAGCTTCTTTATGATGTGTGTCTATTTGTGTGTGTCTGTCTGCAGCTGTGTGCACTTGCACAACCTTAAGTATAGTCTAGTGAGGACCTCTCTGTATTTGCACATGCATGCACACACTTGAGGACACACACACAAACATATGTTGACAGATGTGAGAGCACGCTATGAAGCTGTGTCACTTTCCCTGAAGGAGTAATGTGTGTGTGAGATTATGTGTCTCCACATCTGCAGCCAGACTGTTGAAATTCAAAATAAATATATGATGGAAGATGGAAATTCTGAAGCAGGTGCAGGTGTTTTCAGTTTTACTGCAGCTTTGTGATGGTGTAACAATGGCACAAAGTGAAGTAGGAATCTCCTTCAAAATTAAATACAAGGTTGATTTATTCAAACTCAAATTTAATGAAGTGTTTTGGGGTTGGGTTTTATTATGTTTATTATGTTAAATTATGTTTATAGACTGTTTGCTGTGTCTTTAAATGTGACAACCACCTGGACGAACCTTGGTCCTTTCTCTCTTACTCTCTCTCGCAAGTATATTTTTACTGCAAGTGTTTTCTCAAGGTTACGATTGTACCTCCAATAACTCCCACTGCTTCCTAATACAAAGAGGAAGTACCTTTGATGCTGCTGTTTTTCTGAATTAATTTGTATTTTTATTTTATTAATTTTATCAGAAGTGATTCAGAATTCTATTTTACAAAGTCCTTGCACAAGTCTAACAAATGTCTGGAAATGAACTGTGTTTAAAATGCTATTTGGCGGACCTTTTTGTAATCAGCTTCAGAGCAAGTTGTCTAAATAGAGAGAGAACAAAGCAATTTGAATCTTGTTTTGTTTTGTTCTGTTTTGTTTTTTTCTTTTTGTTTGGAAAGAGACGAGGCTATGGAGTTTCAGATGTAATGATCCTCCAGCAACAAAAAAGTAGATGATCAAAAAAGTAATTAAAAGAGTTGGAAGAGGTGTCATGTCAGCTAAGCATGGATAGAGTGAGTAGTACATTTACTTGGAATTGAATGCCAATGAATTTAATCATGTCAAATCCACTATCCAGGGCCCAGTCTACCACTGAGGTCACTGACATCATGTCCTCTGTACCCTAGTAATTCTATTTCTAAAAGCCTGTTTTTCTAATGGGGTTGTCAGAGAGTGAGTGAGAGCATGTCCTTATCCATTACTGAGAGGAACTGTGTCATAATCAGGAATCAAAAAGAGTGAGATTAATCAAACAAAACGTTTAGACAATCATGCACAGATGTGTTCACTCTCAGCAAATACTGGAAACAGAAAACTGAAAAAGGAAGACGCAATAATCTTTCTCCCCACTCTGACCAGTATGTAATATATTGATCAATGATACTGTGTCTTTAAGACACAATCCCTCCAAATCAAGCACATGACTCTATGCTATTACTGATGTCATTGTGTGTATGCGTGCGTGCGTGCGTGCGTGCGTGTGTGTGTGTACTTGTGTGTGTGTACGTGCGTGTGTCCATCCTCGCTTGGTCTCACATAATTGGATGATATTCTGGCGTCTGATAGGATCTATGTAGGCAGGTGGCAGCTGACAGAAAGCTACTGGTGTGCGTGTGTTTCTGTGTGTGCGTGTCAGCACCTCTGACAACAATATTTTGGGAAAGGTGTTTGTGTCTCCCACAGCTGATTAAGACAGATGCTTTCTCCCTCTGAAATTTAATTTGGGCTACTTCAGCACTTCTTACTCCTTTCTTCCTTCTTCTTCTGTTTTTTTTCTTCCCTGTGTTAAATGATCATACGCTGGGGAAATTAGCTCCAACACTCGGATCTGCACTCAGCTACACACACTTGTGTGTGTCTGTGTCTGAAAAACTCACAAACATCAAACTGCACTGGGCAGTCGTCACATTTCCCTGCTGCGGTTGTTGGCGAGGCTTGTCAATTTACAAAATACACTCACCTCTCTCTTATGCTAACACATCTCTTTGATTTCATATGCACTATTAGGTGGAAATATTCTGTGCGACACATTAGGTGTTGAGCTGAACCTTCTTTTTCATGTCTCACTTTCCTCAAAATTGCACTAAGAAGTAATTTTTATGCTAATATAGCATAAAAGTTAGTTGGCTGGTGCAGCTCCATAGTAGCCCTTAATCTTCATAACTAATGTGACTGAGGAAAGTTTTGATAAAGTTTCAAAGATAATTAGGGTGACTACAAAGAGCAGTGGCTTCAAAACTCAGATTATGCTGCACAAGCTCTTTTGAGTAATATTGCATTCACTTTGTGTGTTGTTTTTTTGTTTTTTTTTGGAACTAAAAATAACAGCTCTCCAGCTACTTCAATTGTTTTGAAGAAGACTGAAATGTTGAAGTTGTAGGTAAATCAGTGTAGATGATACTGATCTACAAACTGTTTTAAAAACCTCCAAAGAACTGAGGTTGTTTGCAGAATCTTGTGAGCATTGTTTAATTTGTGTTGTTGCTGTTAAATTTGACAAGCAATGAAGGCCTGTGACATCACCAACCTAACTGATGTACCTGAGCAATCACCTGGCACCCCTTGTATTTGTCAGCTCTGTCTGCTCCAGTGATGCTTTGAAATTAAAACTCAAAGCTTGAGGAAACTGCTACCGTGCCTCTGCACATCTGCTGGAGTAACTGCACTATTGTGACAAAACCAAATACTGTAAGGAAGAAACCAACTTCCCTTTTCTCTCTCTACCTGTCTCTCTCTCTACAAGGTCACTTGTCCCATGTAACGGCGAGTGAGGGGGAGCACAGTAACCATGGCAACTGCTCAACGGGCCCCACTCCAGACTGCTCACCCCCCTCCCCCGACACGGCCCTGAAGAACATTGAGAGAGTCATCCGCCCACAGGTGAGTGAACACAGATCACACACTAATGAATGTGTTGCAGAGGCACCTGATGCATTATTGAACATCACAGTATCCACCCACAAGTAGCTTAAACACCTGCACCCACCCACCTTCCCACCCACACGCACACACGCACGCACGCACGCACACACGCACACACACACACATCCCTCTGTTTCTCTCCCTATGATTGTTTCTCTCAGTTTCATCTCATCTACTCTCCTCTCTCTCTCTTGTTTCTGTTCCTTTGTCAGTCACTCTTAAAGTGGATTGGAGTTTGAAGTATCTGAGTTTCCCATTATGTTTGTGCATCTAAACATTGTATGCTGGTTACAGAAGTTCATCTAAGTGTGTGTGAGTGTTTTTTTTTCTTCAAAGTGCAAAGGGTATTTTTGTATAATGAAATGTTAAGATTTGTATCAAGGCTGTATCATGCACAGTTCACCGCAGTCTCTTGCAACCACACATGCAAACCTCTGCAATTGCATAATTATAGCTTTGAAATATTACGTTCTGCAGTCGCCCCAACTGCATGCTTGTTAAAGATTGTGTTTTTGGTCTGTGTTACCTCCAAGCCCTTCACTTCCTCATCCATCCCTTCCAAAAACATACCAGCAGCTCTAGAGGAATGAGAAAACAAGTAGAATACAACAACACAAGCTATACAGCGGTGACATGCAGCCACTGTGAAAGGTCTAAAAAAAGAGACATTACATGTAATTTTTCTCACTTTTGACAATTTTCAACAATGTGCTGGCTTTAAATTTCCACAGTGGTTAAAGTGTCTTAGAGCAAGTGCAACTCTTGAAACGCGAGAGCATGAATATGTTCACATTAATTCCCGCAGACACTACACAGACAGAAATGCTGCATGGTGCAGAGATCATGCTGAGCCCTGACACGACGAGTCGTTGCAGTGTAGCATATTTTTGACAAATTACAGCAGTTACATGAACTTTTTCAAAAGTAAAAAGTGCTTTTTGTCAATAATTAAGTCAAATATTTCCTTTAATACAGACTGGTTAGCTTAACTCTTGACTACCAGTTTTTGTATTTCAGTGGACTAAAGTAAACCCCCCCTGTATTAATGCACAATACACTGCAGTAAGAGCCTGAAAATAGGTGTAGTGTATTTGGCAAGGAGAGACTGTAATGTTATTACAGTAATGTGATTGATTCAAAATCAGAAAAACTCAGAATCTTAATTCTTACATGAATCAATGTTTTCCTCCAACCTAACTGCCATGCTCCATTTTTATCACAAGTCACATAGGAATTGGACATCACCTAAACCATTTAATCGATCGTTTGATTGTTAAAGCGAAGGTCTGACATATGGAGGATAAAGTGTCTAAGGTGATCCAGAGGGAGAAGCCAAATCCAGCAGACTGTTAAAATTCAGTGTCCAGGCAGCCTGAAGCTGAGGTGGGTTCATCATCTACTGCTGATACAGATATGACTCATGCATATTTGTGTGGAAGCTAATAAAAATACTGCATTAGGATTATTTCAGGGACAGAATCTCCTGGGCAACCAGTGTAGTGTTAAAGAAATATGCAATAAAGATGTAGCACTATAATCATATCAGAAGTGCACAACATTCCTTTTATTCTAAGCTGCTGTACGCACCTGAAATACAGTGTCTGTCTTACCTCTGTAACAACAACAGAAAAGATTAATAATGTTTCACTGATCATGGATAACTTCATATCAACATTCAGAAATGTAAATGCAGCAACAAATCAAACTCATTAGTGACTTGAGATTAATTTAGTCGTCTCACTTCTGTCACTGAGAAGATAGTATCATGCGCACCGGCACAGCGCGAACGTTTCACACCTTGATAATTAAAGGCAGTTGTTTTTTCAGTCAGCAGATGAGGTGTGACATAACACACACTGAAAAATATCCATCTCAACTGCTTGTTTAGTGTAGTGATGGATAATAAAATATTAGTTTTCTGAAGCACTGAAGGAGTCAGATAGGTACCCTATAAATTATATATTTTTTTATTTTTGAAATATCTTTTCAAAAATAATATTTCTTGAAATATATTGAAAGTTTGGATGTAAATCATCCACATGAGACTCTCCAACTACAATAAACGATACAACAAAGCAACAACGCAATATACTTGTTTAATAAATAAAAGAATAAATAAATTATTTCATAGATATTTATAATTGACTTCATAATTATACAAAATATCAAAAAATTGTCTTGAATCAAATGTCTTCCTAGATGAAGACATCTGTTTCCTGTTGTAAATAAAATAAGAGTTAGAGACAAAATGGCCTCCAAAGATGGATAGCTTCTTTAAAGCCACACAGCTTCACCTTTATTTGGCTTTCAAATGTCCTTTACCAAATGAACATCTTCTCTTCCCCCTTGATTCCTTACTTCACCTTCTAGCCCATCATTCTCTCTTGTCATGTTCCTATCTTTGGCATGTTAACTAATGTGTGTAGAGGGATCACATGTGGTGCCCAGCGGGCCTCCGCTCAGCTTGAAGCACACATAATCAAGGAGCATCAGAGTTCAATTTTATAGCGCCTAATTAATTCTCTAGATTTCATTTCAGTTCATTTTATTGCTCCCGCTGGCTGTTTCATCAGTGCACACTGTATGAAAAACACTCAGACTAACATGCCCACAAACACATACATAACTGTTGCAGTTTAGGGTGTGAATAAGGGTCTGGTATAGAGCCATAGTCCTTCCTGTTAAAATATTAATGTGGTGCTTTCAGGCGTTTCAGCAAAAGAAGGGATTTAATGTCACTGTTGTTTGTAAACACCGTGATACTGTGTAAAGATGATTTGATCAGATGATTCGCTGCTATCTTGCAAACGGTTACATAATTCTATGCTAGCAATAAAATTTACTCACATAGATTTCTGTGGACAAAACTGAGTAATCCATGTTTGGAGACCTTCATATTAAAATTTCAAGGAACTACTGTTATACATACATTTCACAAACTGTTGAATTAATTACTCTCTCGGCTTTACTGGCTTATCCGCTACTATTACATTTCACAAAGTAACAGTAAATAACATGACTTAATTGTACATGGTGTCTGTAGTTAATGCTGAAATCCTCATTATTTTTCTGTTGTCATCATCCCGTCCACTACTTTCCTTTCCGACCAAACACCTGTAAAACTAACATTCCCAAAAGCGTGGCATGCCAACATGCTAGTCTAAGATAGTGAACAAGGAAATCATTATACTTGCTTAACATCAGCATATTAGCATTGTCATTACAAGCATGTTAGCAGGTTGCTGACATTAGCATGTTGCTGCCTGGCATTTAACTCAAAGCACTGCTGTGCAGCCCCACAGAGCTGCTTGCATGGCTGAATTCTTTACTACATATTATGAATATCCAGATTGTTAACACTGATAGTTATTCTGGCATTACTTCTACACTACACTACTTTTTTTTTTTTATTATTATTTCATGTGCTTTGGTTTAACTTTTTCCATTGCAAATCAAGCTGAATTTTTGAATTAAATGACCTAGTAAAACTGCACTGGAAAGAAGTCGAGTTTATCTCACCCCACTGGTGTATTTCTTACTGAATAGGCAAAGTAACAAATGGAGACTAATGTGAAACTCAATCACTTGCTACCATGGATGTTTTTTTACAGAGTATAACCCTCCCTTCCCCTGTGACAAGGCTCCCCAAGGCTGTTGCTGTAAATAAAATGTGTTTGGAGTAATTTTGCTCTTTAAATTGGGGTTTAAAAGAAATTATTCTGCTCATGTGCTCCTAATGCTGCTGCAGTATTTACCATAAGCTAGTTTCTGATGATAAAAAACACATGCAATCACTTTGTAAAAGCGTTAAGAGATCACACAGCCTGTGTTGACTGAAATCCATGGGCTTAATGTTTGGGTCGTTTTTATTTCTTTATCCTTTGCTTCTTGTGCAAACTGTCAGCTGAGTATGTTAGATCTCCACAAGCTCTTGATCACTCGCATGAGCAGATGGGATGTGAAGGAGTAATCAGTTATAAAGATGTAAAGATGTAGAGAGAGGGAAAGCAAGAAGGACAGAGATACACACACTAAATCACGAGGTTATCAGTTTTATATCCACTGGCTCAGTGTCCTACTTTGGTGTGTTTGTGTGTGTGTGTGTATGTGTGTGTGTATGTGTGTGTGTATGTGTGTGTGTGTGTGTGTGTCTGCGTGTGAGAGAGAGAGAGAATCTGTGTGTATCTTAACAGTAAAGTTTTATAGCCATTAGTTGCTTATGAGAGATTCCTGTTCACAGCGAACACATGATAGAACTCGTGTTTGTTCCCACAAAGGCTAAAGCTGATATCTCAGACAATCACATGGTCACATAAGACAAACTAAAACACACACACATCTTCATACCATCTTGCTCCTTTTCTATCTTTGAGTGGACCAGTTTGTGTTTCACATCTAAAAGGATGAGGAGTCCTGGCTTATTCTAAATGCTGTTTGACGGTTACGGCAGTGTTTGGATCAACATTAGCACTGTATCAAAAAGCAGCCTCTTCATCCATTGCATTGGCATGGTCCCTCTTTGTGCCTCATATATTATCAATAAATTTGAGTCACAGAGCTAAGCATCTGTTTTTCTGAAAGATGAGTCCCTGGTGATTTGAAAACCCCAGGACCTCATTTAGCAGCACTTGAAGCTCTTTCCAGAATACCCAACACCTATTCTAACCATCTGGATAAAACAAAATATTTTGTTTGGTGTACATTAAAAAAGGTTTTTGACCTGTTTCCCAAGCAGCTTAAGTTCCTACAGGTGTAAAAGAGTGTAGCTGGAAATGAGACATGTCCTTCCTCGTTTTGTGCAACGCAAACCAAAATTGAAAACTTCAAGTTATATTTGTATGTGCTTATTTTCCCATTTGTCTGTATTTTCATACACAATAATATGTTTTTATTTTTCTTGTGTTATACAAAATGGATGAGCCAGTGTGTCATTTCTGGATACCCAGTTTTAAAGACTG